CCCCAAAACCCCAAAACCCCAAAACCCCAAAACCCCGTATGTAATTAGAATATAATTTTAAAGGGAGATGAGTAAATTAAAAATGAGCAAAATAAATTTAACTTAAAATAATACCTTAGAGAACTCAGCTAATTCTATCAATATTAGTGATCACTTCAAACAATTTCTTCTTGAGTAGAAGGATAGAATAGAGTAGTGCAGTAATAAAAGATAGATATCTCTATTAAGTACCATAACAAAGTAACATAACTCAAGATTTTCACTTAATTCTTCCTAAAATATCAATAATTTATTCGATGGAACTCAGCGTAATTTATCATAAAATGAATCTAAGCTACAGATAAACAAGACTTATGGAAGCCCGAATCAAAAAATTACAAATAAAAGCACATAAAATTCATCTTTTAAACCTCCTCAAAGCCCATAAATAATAAAAAGTTAAAATTCCACAGTAATTAGTAGCTAAAAAAAGCAATAATCAGCCAAATCTTTGATAAAGTAAATCAAGTTTAGTCCTATCCATAGTTAACGTAATATCATTCAAACTCCTTTGCTCACAGTAGATGAGTGATATCAAAGCAGATATAATATAGTAAAAATGGCTGATTAGTTAAAGCAACAAATGTAAAAAGATAAACAATATTCTGCGATTTAACAGCATTTATTGGATTCTTCTAGGGAAAGGCTCAAGACATGTGAGACTAAATCTTAAAATTATTTAGAACAAACAAATATTGATACTACGTACCTAAAGGATAATGAAGATAGAATAAATTAGATTCAAAGGACAAACCTTGATTTTTCATTCAAAACTCCTTTTTCTGAGTATAATTGAGTATCCAATAGAAAAACGAAGATCTCCAAGGAAATGAAATAAATTTCACCAAGTAGATTTAATGTAGAGGATAGAGATAATTTTAAATAATTGAAAGTTAAAGATTATTAAGATGTTTAGTTAGATAATAGAATTGATGATTAAATATATTTAGTAGCTCACTAGGTTAACTAAAAAGAGTTGCTTATGAGTACATAAATAGAATTGAAAGTATAAGTAAGATAAAATCAAGAATTCTAATAAAAATTAACCTAAGATTAAAAAAGAATAACTGTTTAGATAGAAAAATAAAAACAAAAAACCTAAGAATAATAAAAAGCAAACAATGAAATAAAACTCTCTATTTAGATTTATCGAGATAAAATAAAAAAATATCAAGATATTATAATAAATCAAGATCAAGATTACATGCAGAAGGAATAATACAAAGAAGATATGAATTAGAGAGTATAGATGATGTAAGCTCAGATTGATAAAGAATCTCGAAATCTTTATACTCAAGAGTAGAAAATTAAGTAATTATAGTAAATGAGGGAAAAAGCAGAAGATATAAGGTATAAACTTGAAATGGAACTTAATTAGTGTTTAAAATCTGAGGGCAAAAAGCTAATTATAATATAATAAAAAGAATAGATTATGAAAAGTCTTGTAAATGAAAAGAAGTTAACTGTTAAATATGGAAGCAAAGCCTATTCAAGTCCGATTGGATAGGTTGTAAGATAATTAGTCGATGGTGATAAGAAAAGATTATGAAATTAAGAATTTTTAGATCTATTATTAAATTATAATCTTAATTTTATCACTATTAAAGCTAATTAAAACTCCAGAGATCATTATACTCTCTCATATTTGAAGTCCTTAGTTAAAGTTTTTCGTACTCGTATTCTAAACCATTAATTGGTAAAACATCCAGTAATGGATAGAACAATGCTTTAAGTACATTTTCTGTTCCAAATATCAATACTAAGTTAGCTTTGAAAGATCTTCTTTGGTAAGTATACACTTTCTTTCTTTTATCTCCAACATACAAATCTAGTATGTCTTCAATCGTTAAGTCTTTATAAATTAGCCAGAAATATAGGACAACTTAGTTTATATTCAGTATGCACATGAAAAAATGTACTGTAAACCAAGCACCTGGACCGCCTAAGATTTATACCTATATTAAATATGATAAATGTTTCTACTCTTACAAACAAATCAGGATAGTAAGAGAGTTCATAAAAGCAGAATAGTAGGAATATATTTCCCAACACTGTATGGAAGCAAAGTTAGACATAATACCTTAAATTATGCAAGCTAATGCATTGATTAAGCCAATAGTTGTGATGATCAAATCTGATGGTACACTATCCACAAACATCGCAATGAACTACTCTTATTGGCTTAATATATTCACATCTATTACACATATTTTCTTCTTCATTTTCTATTTATTAAGCATTTAATTACAGCTAACCGATGTCTGATCTAAACATTTGCATTTAAGTAATGTCATCTCTAGTTAGTATAGACTCATATTATTTGATGTAGTTTTCTCTTATTCTCTCATAATTGATTTTCTATTTCTTCAGTAATTTAGGAGTCGTTTGCTGTTTCATAAGTATCAGTGAGTAGAGTACTATGTTTCTGATTAGTAAATACATCCCAATTGCAACTAAAAGCTTATTTGATATATAATTAGCAAATTACAATGGCTATCGGAATAGAATGTCTCTAAAAGGCTACATTCATCATATAATAGTGAATGAATTCATAAAGATGCATATTTATCATCACAAAGTACATGAATATACTCATCAAACCAAAACTTCTTTAAAGCAATATTTTAACTAATTTAAGGTTGAACATTAGTGAATTTACATTATTAAAAAAGAGATTCATTAGTAGCTTTAGCCATGTTTTTTTCTTTCTTCCTTTCAAATTAATTTATTTTAATCATTTTTCCTAACTAGTTCTTATTAAATTTCTCTTATTTTTAATTCATGACTCAGGGGTTTTGGGGTTTTGGGGTTTTGGGG